GGATAGGGGGGCAATGTGGCAGATGTTGCAGGTGTATGGTGTAGGAGGTAGGTTACTGAAAGCAGTGAAAAGTTTTTACGAGGATAGTGAGGCTCAGTTAGAGTATGTAGGAAAGAGGGAAATTATTCCCAGTAAAAGTAGGCCTTACACAGGATGTGTGGATGTCACCGTGGTTGTTTAATATATTTATAGATGGGGTTGTAAGAGAAGTAAATGCGAGGGTCTTGGCAAGAGGCGTGGAGTTAAAACAAAGAATCACACATAACGTGGGAGTTGTCACAGTTGCTCTTTGCTGATGACACTTTGCTCTTGGGAGATTCTGAAGAGAAGTTGCAGAGATTGGTGGATGAATTTGGTAGGGTGTGCAAAAGAAGAAAATTAAAAGTGAATACAGGAAAGAGTAAGGTTATGAGGATAACAAAAAGATTAGGTGATGAAAGATTGGATATCAGATTGGAGGGAGAGAGTATGGAGGAGGTGAATGTATTCAGATATTTGGGAGTGGACGTGTCAGCGGATGGGTCTATGAAAGATGAGGTGAATCATAGAATTGATGAGGGGAAAAGGGCGAGTGGTGCACTTAGGAGTATGTGGAGACAAAAAACTTTGTCCTTGGAGGCAAAGAGGGTAATGTATGAGAGTATAGTTTTACCAACGCTCTTATATGGGTGTGAAGCATGGGTGATGAATGTTGCAGCGAGGAGAAGGCTGGAGGCAGTGGAGATGTCATGTCTGAGGGCAATGTGTGGTGTGAATATAATGCAGAGAATTCGTAGTTTGGAAGTTAGGAGGAGGTGCGGGATTACCAAAACTGTTGTCCAGAGGGATGAGGAAGGGTTGTTGAGGTGGTTCGGACATGTAGAGAGAATGGAGCGAAACAGAATGACTTCAAGAGTGTATCAGTCTGTAGTGGAAGGAAGGTGGGGTAGGGGTCGGCCTAGGAAAGGTTGGAGGGAGGGGGTAAAGGAGGTTTTGTGTGCAAGGGGCTTGGACTTCCAGCAGGCATGCGTGAGCGTGTTTGATAGAAGTGAATGGAGACAAATGTTTTTTTTATACTTGACGTGCTGTTGGAGTGTGAGCAAAGTAACATTTATGAAGGGGTTCAGGGAAACCGGCAGGCCGGACTTGAGTCCTGGAGATGGGAAGTACAGTGCCTGCACTCTGAAGGAGAGGTGTTAATGTTGCAGTTTAAAAACTGTAGTGTAAAGCACCCTTCTGGCAAGACAGTGATGGAGTGAATGATGGTGAAAGTTTTTCTTTTTCGGGCCACCCTGCCTTGGTGGAATCGGCCAGTGTTGATAAAAAATAATACATATAATATATATAATATATATAATATATATTATATATATTATATATATATATATATATATATATATAATATATATATATATATATATATATATATATATATATATATATATATATATATATAATACACATACTTACACAAAGTTGTTTACGTGTGAATGCATGCTTGCGTTCGTGTCTGAACATGCGAAGCAAATCAGGCTAGCATGTTTACATACGCACATTCATTTTCTTGCGTGTACTCTTGTGTCGTAATAACCCCATCGCACCCTCCAAGTGTTAATTTATTTGTGTCTATAAACTAACCCATTACAATTTTCCTATGAAACAAGACATTAATATTACCAACACAGATATCGATGTTCGGCACCTCTTCCCCCCGATAAATACGTGGTGTTGAATATTGGGTTGGTGAGTGCAAGAGGTGTATATCACCTGATATTGGTGATACGTTCTCCTGAAGACCATCTCAGCGAAGCACCAGCCTACCTGCCTGCCTGTCTGCTCTCCTGCCTATGTGCCTGACTGCCTGCCGGCCGGCCGGCCAGCCTGCCTATCTACCTGCCTGTCTACTTACCTGCCTGCCTGCCTTGTCCACAACAGCACTTAAGCTATTACTTAGGTTTCCTAGGAGGCACGTCAACTGCAGTGTATGTCAAGTGGAAATCCAAGTGGACAGCTCAAAGGGTCACACAACTAACGTAGTCCCAGTGGGTCCCGACTCCTGATGTAGCTCCGATAGGTCATAACTACCGATGACGTCACAGCGGATCACAACTACTGACGTAGTCCCTGAGGATTACAACTACTAACGTCATCTCCATGGGTCGCAGCTATTGATGTGATGCCAGTAGGTCACATCCCCTGATGTAACCCCAATAGATCATAGTCGCTGCGTCTGTGGGTCACACCATTTGTCATAGTCCCAATGGACATAACGTATATCCTGCTGTCACGTGATCGCGAAATCACGGTGCCTCCGGTCGCTAGTGCAGCTCTCTCGAAGCTTTGTGAAGGGTTCTTGATCGAAGAAACTGGAGCTGTCTTCCCTTTCCTCTGTTCAATCGTGATTAGGTCCCATTCCAAAGGCGCTATGTCGCCCCTACGGGTTTAGCGCTTCCCCAAATATACAGTGGAACCTTGAAAATCGAACGTACCAAATATCGAACGTTTCGAAAATAAGACCATTTTTTCGGACAAACTGTGTACCAAAAATCGAACGCGTTTCAAATTTCGGACCACCGGGTACGGGACCTGTCCGCTAGCCCGCTCTGTCCCCTCTGTCCGCGTCCCCGCGCAGGCGCGTGAGCAGTCTAGCTTTGTTTATGCTTGAGTGAATACTAACCTGCGCTCTCATTCACACATTTTTACGATTATTTCGTTGTGTTTAGTACTTGTGGGACTGTGAAATAAGCAGCCATGGGCCCAAAGAAACTTGCTAGCGGTACCCCTGTGGTAAAGAAAGTGAGAAACACCATAGATTTGAAGAAGGAAATAATACAGAAGTATGAGAGTGGTGCGAGACTTGTTGAGCTTGCCAGGATGTACAGAGGACTGTGGACAGTTATTTTGTGAGACAGAAACAGACGACTGTGGACAGTTATTTTGTGAGACAGAGGACTGTAGACAGTTATTTTGTGAGACTGGGGTCCAATGACTCCAGATGCCATCACCAATCTACAATAAAGGTAAGTAAAAATGTTATTTTATATTACTATACATAATTAAAGACTATAGCATTTGTTGTATGTAAAACTGTAATTAATCTCTATAAAATGTATTATTTTTGTGAATATTTTTGGGTTTCTGGAACGGATTAATTGTATTTCTATTATTTCTTATGGGAAATATTGCTTCGAATTTCAGACTTTTCGAATTTAGAACTAGCTCCTAGAACGGATTAAGTTCGATTTTTGAGGTTCCACTGTACATTTGCCGTGCCGAATAAACCAAATCGGCGAGTTTAGCTTAAAAACAAACGATTATTTTTGCCGAAAAAGCAGAACAAAAATTTTTATGCAATAAATCTGTTACCATTTTTTCTGAGCACATTGAAAATTATAGAAATATATAAACGATTTTAATTAGTATTAAATAAATCTAAACTGATGTATGATATATTTAGTGGAATTAAGCTAAAATAAATTAAGTTTATTATAGCAGGTAGGAGAAGTCTCTAAGTTAGGCTGGGCCAAAAAAAAAAAAAAGTGTGCCAGTATCAATAAAAAAACATACGAGTATCTATAAAGCCTTAAAAGAAAATATGAAAAAAGTTTAATTTTTGATATTGTATTATATATTACGTAATGTATATTGTATTATTACAATGTATTATGTAATGTATACCAACTTCTTTTCCTCTTCTCGGATTGCTTAACATTAGGTGAAGAGACATTTTGTAGTGTGGACGATCTATCTTGGAATAGTTATCGTACAGCAGGTGAATATGGATTAATGATCTTACACGATCATATTACAGTAAGTTTTCGATGAGGTTTTAGTCATGAACTCACAAGCTGATAAGAATTTTAGGATGGTTTCGAACGTCGTCTGATATATTCTCTCCAGATTGTGTCAGTTGTGATCTGACTCCTCGTCTTTGGCATCAAATTTGAATCTGTCAGTAGTAGATTAGTATATTTCTATACAGTAACCATTAGATATTAAAGTGACGAATTAAGGCGGCTAGTGGCTGATGTAGTAGCCCCTCTGACTCACAACTGAGGGACCCAAGTTCGATACCAGCACAAGTGGAAACACCTAGCATAGTTTCTTTTACCTCGCCCCCCTCGTCACCTAATATTAAGCAGGTACCTGGGTGTTAGTCGACTGTTACGGTATCAGTCCGAAAAGAGAAAAGGATGTTAGTATACATTACATAAGACTGGCTTCTGAAAGTAGCCTGTAAATAGAACGTGGTAAAACAATGGTTTACGCCAAGAAAAATAATTCTGCAGTGCTTCGTTTTCTGAAGAGTGTACAATTAGGAAGCGACTTCAGAAGAGGCGTGATGCTGTGTGGTAAGACAGCGCTACACGCCAGGCTGGGGATCATATCTGAGGAGCTTCCACAAAGTTTTCCAATTAAACTTGAATGAGCCATCGTGGCTTGAAACTACTTACCTCAAACCAACGGATTAACTCATTAGCGAGGAATGAAACGTATAAAAAAGTCACAGAGGAAGACGCTAGATACCAACCACAGACGTACACACACATGGCACCCGATAACACAAACGCACTGTACAAAAGACAAGAGCGCATGACATCAGCCGCAAACACAAACGCCAGAGAACCAAGGCCAGGAGCCGAGACTCAACCCCCACAACAACAATTAGGTAAGCACATAGCGGCCTCCCCCCAAACACAAAAATAAAAAGGCTGTCAAATAATAAACTGATTGCAGATCTCAGCTTCATCTTACTCGAAACAGATGTAAACTGAAATTTCTATATGCTGATGTCATTTAAAAAAATACTTAATATTTTTTTATTGATTAAAATTGTTTTAAAATATGTCCATATTACATATATGCTTTAATATTTACTTACAGTCATGAAGTTAGTCTGCAAATGATATACACAATAATCCAAAGCACATGCAACACTGAGTTGACTTCGAAAAGATCTTGCTGAGTATGATCTGAAAACTTTATCTCAAAGCGAATCGTTGTGTTAAATAAAGTTTACATACTGTTGATATTATCTTTATTGCAATTTCTCTGTTGATAAGTAATAAACTCCGTCGCTAGAACAATACTTTCTTAAAGTCAGCTTTCCAAATAAGGTTGTCTTTCTTCCACTTTAGGCTATCATATTTAGATGAACAAAAAACTAATTAGAAAAGTCAGACTCAGTCTTCAATAGCGGTTGATTTTCCGTTGGTGACTTTTGACCGCTGATGCTGGGCTCAGGGTTACAGCTTTCAGGCTCCTCCCAACATATTTTCATTTTCAGGTGTTTTGCAAAGAGGACAGTTAGTTTGTGCATAGTCAAGATAGACTGTAAGATATCTTGCGTTTCCTTCAAAAATTCTTCACCGAGAGATAACAGTGCATTTTCGTGAGATTCTTTAAGTTTTTGAGGCTCGACATACAAATTCTTCCACTTAAGTACTTCGTATGTGATTTTACACGTCTCTTTCTTTTCATCATAAAGTTTCTTCAGAGTTTCCTTCTTCCAGCTTGCATTACGTACTTCATTATCAAAGTCACGCTCAATACTACTGATATCGCAATCGAACTGTTGTTTTAATTTCTCATTTCTCTCATTAACGCTATGATTAAGTTTCTCTTCATTTGTTTTATAATTAGAGTTTTGTTGTTCAGTTTGGACTTTCAGACAGTTCTCCTTTTCCTTTATTTGACACTTAAAAAATCTCAGCCATTCCTGGGGATCTACCATAAATGTGTTCCAGTCAAATGAGACGATCATTTTGTTCCAGAGATCTAGTACTTGTTCAGCGTTCTCACGCATTTTCTGTACATATTTTTTCATGTGTTCACTGGCTTGCTGTCTCATCATTTTCTTGTCTGTGTTTAATTTTACCAGATCGTCTCTTCTGGACCTTTCTTCCTGTACTTTTTTATGCTTTTCTTCAAGTTCTCCCATTTTTGTTAATTTCTTATTTCCTTCATTCACAATTTTATGTATATTATTTTTTCCGCTTCCGCAATCGTTGATCTTTTTAACAATTTCTCTGAGTTTCTCTTCATACTGTGACTTATCACTGAGCAGCGATGTTGAAATTTCCATATTCTTGGAATATATTTCGTCTAAGTTTCTGACTGGAATAATTGCAAATGTTTCTGACATTATATCAACAAGAGTTACTTGGGTTGAAGTATTGATCAATCCATCAATCAACGAACATTCTAAGTCTGTTTTTGAGCTTTTCTTGCTTAGCTTCACTCCCCTGTCTCTACGGGATATTTTACCTTTGAGCATATAAATGCAAGCTATATTAAAAACGGAAACAATTATCAGTAGTATGAGACACGTGATAAATGCTCCCCAGTAACTTTTATCTGGAATACTTATACATGGTTCACAGGAAGGTTTGGTTACTTGTGGTCTATCATTAAGTTCCTGAGACTCAACCTTAACCGCCAGGTTGCCGGAAAAGCTGTCGAGTTTTAGTGTAGCTCCTGGAAACATGACGACACTCTCGTCTAAGGATATATTTATTGACGATTCTCTCAGCACTACATGACCTTCGATATTTAATCCGTGTGAAGAAATTGTATGTACAGAAGATTTGTGAAGTACGAGTTCCGATCCCTTTCTTGCATGCAGTTTTTCGAGTGTGTCTATTTTAGACGATATGAGGTTAGCGGTGACGCCGTTCTGCAGAGTGCTGGAGATGTCGAGGACCTTGATGGTGGAGTTGATGACGATGAGCTGATTGATGCTGAGAGCTGTGGCTAGCGAGGTGAAGATGCTCTGCTCCAGGTGAACGTAACTCACCTGGCTGGGTAGTCTGTCCAAGGTTGAGTTTCTGGTAGAGAGATGAAGACGAGCTTCACAGGGCTGCCCCTCACCTCTCACCACCACCACATCGACCACATTGTTGAGCACAACATTGACACACAATGACTCACTCAGCTGCAGCTTCACAGCGTTGTACACAAACACCTTCTGCACCGATGAGTCCAGCTCTTCATCCATATGAACCATCTACGAAAGATACAGGTATTAGATAGTTATTTTAGTAAACTGCCTGGATCAAGGTCTCCATCCATGAACAGGTACACCTCACAGACAGAATTAAACACGGAATAGAAAATGTCTGTACATTTCATATGCAGTGTAAATAAGATACACAATGACGTGTTACTGTAAAGACATCTCGTACACCAAGGAAATTTTTATTTCAGAATTCAGATAAATTCCCTGATGAACGAAACTTCTTTACAATATAATGCACATTTTTTGTCTAAATTGCATTTCTAGTACACGTTGGATTTTATGTCAATATAGGATTTACATCGTTGAATAATATACAATACCGAGAAGTAGATGAGAGACTTGTGAAAGTTTGGTTTATTTATTCAAGAGACTATTCGTACAAGTGTTGTACGAATGTTTTATTCATCATTGGTTAATAGTGGTAATACGACTGCTCATCACAGCGCTACGATAAATAATATTACTTCTCAAGTTTTGCCCAACGTAGACCAATAGGCCGACTGCACTTCTTCGCTATATTTGGCTAAGATAAAAGTGATGCAGTTTGATATCTTTATTCTTGAAACCTTTCGCTTACACGATAGGTATCTTCAGCCAAATACAAAGAATAAATATGGAGGCAGCATGGGTATGCTGCAAGGTAAAAATTGCGATCAGTCCATCTACTTAAAATAAATGGTTCTTGAGATGGTCAGTCCCTCACCCTGAAAGAGAGTTCAGTTCCATTGTCTGAAGCTGCAGCATGACAATGGAACACTTGTGTTAAATATATCTTATCTACTCGTCGGTAGCGTATATCATTTTCTTTTGTAGGCGAAACTGTGTAAAATGAAGTTTTCACTCACTTGTGTCTTTTCAGCCCCAAACTCATTAATGGAAATTATTAACAATGGGCCCAAAACCAGTTCCTGTAGAACGCCAGTGTTAGAGAGAACACACCGAACACTGAAGTCAGTACTAGCAAAGTTATGTAATGGCCACCCAGGCTTATACCTATGCTTCAGATTCATCAAGACTAAAGTACTGAACACCGGCTTCCAGACTGAGGAAATTTTTTCCACATCTACTGTTCTCTTAGAGCATTTCTGTATTGAACTGAAAAAGTCATTGGTTAGTATACATTAATGATACTGTATACCATTATTGTTATGATATTGCGCCTATATGGATTACGACAATAATAGGCAATAAAGTTTACTGTAAAATTAAAAAAATGAACTTAAATACAACCTTGATCATGAACGGTATACAATACCGACAAGTACGCTGAGGTCAGTGGTCAAGTGCGGTCATACCTGCCAAGCTCTTGGGAGTTAGCGTGGGCTGTTACCCATACCATGGCTTGTTGTAGTGCTTTAGAATCCCAGGTTCACGTGTTGAAGAAGGAGATTCTACTTCTTCAGGAGGAAAATAGGAAGCTGAAGCTTCGCATAGATGAGTTTGGGAGTGAGTGTGAGAAGGATTTAGCTGGTAAGGTAGGAATGGTCACCAGTAGTGAGAGTGGCAGCCGCTTTAAGTGGCAAGTGGTTCACAGTTCAGGAAGAAGGAAGATGAGGAGAGTTAAGAGAGAAGATGTGAAGGTAGGAAATCGATTCTCTGTTCTCCAAGACGAGTGTACTTCAGTGGTTAGTGAGGTTGAAGGTACCACTGATTCCCCTGCTAATCAAGGTAAGAATATTTTAATAGTAGGCGATTCTCAGGTAAGATATATGAACCGTGCATTTTGTAACAGACAGAAAGTTCAGACAGAGAGTGTGTCTTCCTGGAGCTGGTGTTGGCGACATAGTCAGCAGGTTGGATAATATTTGGCAGGTAATGGGAACAAGCCCATTATCTGTCTTAGTGCTGGGGGTAATGACATTGGGAAGGGCAGGAGAGAGGAGCTGCTGGATAAGTACAGGTCAGCCATAGAAGTAGTTAGGTCTAAGGGAGGGATCCCAGTCATATGTAGCATCTTGCCTAGAAAGGGAGTGGGCAATGAATGGATGTCTAGGGCAATTGGTATAAATCGCTGGCTAGACAGGTACTGCAAGGAACTTGCAATCCCATTCATTGATAACTGTGACCTTTTCTTTGGCAAATGTGATATGTATGCAAGGGATGGGGTTCATCTCTCTGGGGATGGAGTGGTTGCATTAGCCAATTCAATTGAGAGGGTAATTGAAGACTTGTCTAGAAATTTAAACTGATAGATTATAGAGGTATGCGTGTTTGTGGGAAACAATCAGGCTGCAGCATTAGGGTTAAAAACAACAGTTATTACCGGGATACCTCAGGGATATGTTTAAAAGACAATATTCAAAATAAAGTTGCTAGTAATGGCAAATCAAATGATCAACAAACAAAGAGAGATAGTAGAGGGCAACGAGTGACTAGCTCCCTAAAGGTTTACTATACAAATAGTAGGAGTCTAAGAAATAAGATAGATGAGCTAAAATTACTTGCAAGTGTAGGTAATATAGATATTATTGGTATAACAGAGACTTGGTTCAACCTGAAAGATAGAGAAATGCCTTCTGAATGCAACATACAGGGTTATAAACTATTCCACACTGATAGGGTCAACAGGAAGGGTGGTGGTGTGTTGTAGTATGTCAGAGAAAATTTAAATTGTTGTCTTAGACATGATATAAGATTAGAAACATCGAACACAGAATCGGTTTGGCTACAGTTTCTCGAGGGGGGGACGTGACAAATTAATTTTGGGTGTGATTTATAGGCCCCCAAACCTTGATAGAGAGTGCAGTAAGCTGTTATGGAACGAAATTCATAAGGCATCTAGACATGAAAATGTTGGGATATTGGGAGATTTTAACTTTAGACAAATTGATTGGAACAATATGACAGGAAATCTTGAGTCTAGTGACTTTCTTGATACGGTTCAGGATTGCTTTTTAGAACAGGTTGTGACAGAACCAACTAGAGGAAACAATCTGCTTGATTTGGTTCTTGCCAACAAAGATTCACTAATTAATAATCTTGAGGTTAATGATGAGCTTGGGGAAAGTGATCACAAATCACTTAGTTTCAATATATCATGGAATTACCCAGATAACTGCAATCAAATCTCTGTCCCAGATTTTCGCTTGGCCGACTTCATGGGACTGAAAAATTACTTTGGTGGGCTAAATCGGGATGTCCTGACTATGGGTCAGGTAGGTGAACTTGGTTGACAATATGACGTTTTTCAGAGCATAGTTCTAGCTGCCCAGACAACTTTTGTTCCGAGTAGGGAAATTAGATCTAACAAAAATGATCCCAAATGGATGAACAATAGATTAAAACATCTCTTTGGTCAAAAGAGAGGCATATATAGACGTATCAAAAGAGGGGATTGGCAGTTAAGAAATCAATATATTCAATTAAAGAGAGAAATAAAAAAAGGAATAAGAAAAGCAAAAAGGGATTATGAGGCTAAGGCCGCAAGGGATTCAAAGACTAACCCAAAAGGGTTCTTTCAGGTATTCAGAAGTAAGATTAGGGACAAGATTGGCCCACTTAATTAAGAGTAACTCTGGTCAGATCACTGACAGTGATAAGGATGTGTGTGAAATACTAAATACCTACTTCCTCTCAGTTTTCACACAGGAAAATACTAGCGAGATTCCTGAAATAATAGATTACGTAGAACAGGATGATAATAAACTATGTACGATAGCGGTAACTAATGACATGGTCCTCAGACAAATAGAGAAACTAAAATCTAACAAATCTCCAGGTCCTAATGAACTGTTTGCAAGGGTGTTAAAGGAATACAAAGAGGAACTTAGCATACCTTCGGCTAATCTTTTTAACATATCACTACAAACTGGCATAGTGCCTGATAAGTGGAAAATGGCAAATGTAATACCTATTTACAAGGCAGGTGACAGGTCCTTGGCTTCGAACAATAGACCAATAAGCCTTACCTCCATAGTGGGAAAATTTATGGAATCAATAATTGCCGAAGCAATTCGTAGCCATCTTGACAAGCACAGATTGATTAATGATTCTCAACACGGTTTTACAAAGGGGCGTTCCTGTCTTACGAATTTACTAACTTTTTTCACTAAGGTGTCTGAGGAGGTAGATCGATAGAGTTCCACACCAGAGGCTATTGAGGAAACTTAGGGCACACGGAATAGGAGGAGAAATTTTTTCCTGGGTAGAGGCATGGCTGACAAATAGACAGCAGAGAGTTTGCATAAATGGGGAGAAATCAGAATGGGGGCACGTCACAAGCGGTGTTCCTCAGGGGTCAGTGTTGGGCCCGTTGTTGTTCACAATTTACATAAACGACATAGATGAGGGAATAAATAGCGACATAAGCAAATTTGCTGGCGACACCAAAATAGGCCGTCCAATTCATTCTAATGAGGACATTAGAGCACTCCAGGATGATTTGAATAGACTGACGCAATGGTCGGAGAAGTGGCAGATGCAGTTTAATATTGACAAATGCAAAGTTCGAAATGTTGGACAGTTCAATAACCATGCCACATATAAACTAAATAATGTAGAACTTATTACTACCGATTGCGAAAAGGATTTAGGAGTTCTGGTTAGCAGTAATCTAAAACCAAGACAACAGTGCATTAGTGTTCGCAATAAAGCTAACAGAATTCTTGGCTTTATATCTAGAAGTGTAAATAATAGAAGTCTTCAGGTTGTTCTTCAACTCTATATATCCTTGGTTAGGCCTCATTTAGACTATGCTGCTCAGTTCTGGTCACCGTATTACAGAATGGATATAAATGCTCTGGAAAACGCACAAAGGAGGATGACAAAGATGATCCCATGTATCAGAAATCTTCCCTATGAGGATAGACTGAGGACCCTGAATCTGCACTCTCTCGAAAGGCGTAGAATTAGGGGGGATATGATCGAGGTGTATAAATGGAAAACAGGAATAAATAAAGGGGATGTAAATAGTGTGCTGAAAATTTTCAGCCAAGACAGGACTCGCAGCAATGGTTTCAAGTTGGAAAAATTCAGATTCAGGAAGGATATAGGAAAGCACTGGTTTGGTAATAGAGTTGTGGATGAGTGGAACAAACTCCCGAGGTTAAAACGTTGTGTAGTTTTAAAAATAGGTTAGATAAATACATGAGTGGGTGTGTGTGGGTGTGAGTTGGACCTGACTAGCTTTGCTGCTGGGTCTGGTACAGTGCTCCATCCTTGAGTGGGGATGACCAGATTGGGTGAGTCATTGGGATAAACCGAGGGGTGGGTCATTGGTCTAATCCGGGGGGGGGACATGGACCTGCTCCTCGTGGGTCAGTAGGCCTGTTGCAGTGTTCCTTCTTTCTTATGTTCTTAAGTTGAAAAATTTACAAACATGTGCAACATCTGGGTATCTTTATTGTAGATACCAATATGTTGCACATTGTGATATAGTTCAGCTGGGCTTGTGAGGTCTCTGGGGAGACCTAATTTAACCAATTATATGGTCACACCTTGCCTTGGCAAACGTCTGTCAGCCACGCCCACGTCTGAGGTCTTTTGTTCTTGACGGCGTCAGACCTAGGCGTCAGGTCGTACACGTGGTTGTGGGGGGTGCTCTCGGGACAATATAAGCCCAAGGAACAGCTGAGCAGAGGAGATTCGGGCAGAGCTCTGGCCTGGGAGCAGAGCTGAGCTGGAGGGTCTCGGGAGGAGAGACTGTTGGAGACATTGGGCAGATTGCTGGCTTGGAGCAGTACTCGTGCTGTATAGGTCTTGGGACCTGTGGCTTAGTTCCTGTAGTGAACTGTCCTCTGTACTATATTGTAAGTTATATTCATTTTCGTCAAGTTAATTGTGTTCCCTGTCTCACTGCTTATATGTACCACCTCATTTATCTAAACCACAATAATGTTCTCCTGTTCCCTAATATATTATTGCACAAAGACTTAATAATAAACTGTTTGAGTAGAATAGCAATATTCATTGTCCCAGTTATTTTCTCCATTTATTTATGTTTAGTTAAAGTAGTGAGAGGGTGAGTAGTGTGGAGTGGTGGGTAGAGTGATGAGAGGTGAAGTTGTAGTCACCAGTGACCTCACATTACCTACCTACCTCTGCCCTCATCTCTCCTACCACCTCGCCGGCCTGTCCCTGCCTATACACACTCCTTTACTCCCATATTCCCCTATTATGCTTACGTTCCAATACCCCCCTACATGACATGGTGTCTAAGCGGTGGTGGTTCTTATTTTTATAGTAGGAACAAGTCCCATGTGCCTTATTTTTGACTGCTCGGCTATACTTATGTTATGCTACCATTTTGTGTGTGTGTGTAAAGCTAAAGTAAATATCAGTGTGATATTATAATCCTAGTGGCCTTAACTGACCTTTTTTCAGACGGTGGGTCTGAGTAATTGTTTGGGTATAATATTATATTTGGTGGAGTTGGTTGTTGGTTTGAGATAAATGGTGGAGAATATCAGTATTTGGGTGAGACTTTTGGGGGAAGCAATTACTGGCCGAAATTGAATATTTACAGAGGAATGAGAAGTCACCCAGCCCGCCTTGGAAGACTAACCCACAACTGCCACCCATTGAAGAGCTGCCTATGATTGTTATCCTGCCCAGCTGATGTGTCCCAGTAGATGTATTGCTGCCTTGGTCTGTCATCCATTGTAGTGGGTGTCTGTCTCCGTCACCCAGTCTCTGTGACCATCACCCACGGACCGCACCTGCTGTTGATGATCTGAAGTGACCTCTCCTCACCTCGAGCAACTGACCATAGCCTGCTACTGCTGATGTCGGCTGCTGTGATGCTGCTGAGATGCTGTAGCTGTGAGGCAATGCTGTGGCCGTGCTGAGATGCTGTAGCCGTGATGCGATGCTGCGGTCGTGCTGAGATGCTGTAGCCGTGCTTCGATGCTGTGGCCGTGCTGAGATGCAGTAGCCGTGCTGTAATGCTGCGGCCGTGCTGTGTGCTGCTGTGATACGGCCGTGCTGTGATGTTGAGATGCTGCGGCCATGCTGTGATGTTGAGATGCTCTGGCCGTGCTGATGCTGAGATGCTGGGACCGTGCTGCGATGCTGTAGCCGTGCTGCGATGCTGTGGCCTGGCTGTGTGCTGCTGTGATACGGCTGTGCTGTGATGATGAATATGCCGTGGCCGTGCTGTGATGCTGCGATGCTGCCTAGCTGAAGAGGAGGAGATGGCGGTGATACTGCAGTGGTGTGTGAGCGATTCTGGCTGGTGTGCCAGGACAGGAGAATCTACTATGAGGAGTTGCCATCCTCGGAGATGTGGAAGGACGTGAGCTGCGGAGATGGACACCAGCTGCTGAGACCAGCCTGCTTTCAAGGGCGGTATGGAGGTGTATCCTGCCTTGCTGGTCGACCTGTACGACCGGTATGCGGGGATGCCCTGCCAGCCATGAGACAAAATTGAGAGTGTGAGATGTTCCCAGCCTACTTTGACTTGCCAGAAGTGTTAGTGTTACCTGTGTGAAATAAGGTGACCTTGAATACGGTCCAGTGATTATGGCCGCCTTGTTTTATGAGGCCAGTGAAACCTAGTAGTGGCATAGGATAATCGAGGGTCTTAGCTGCGATGCCTGCCCTGTCTCGATTTTCAGATGTTGAAGTGTGCATGTGAAGTGTCCTGAAAATGCGACCTTGGTGGTCGTGAAGTGGTCCAGTTGCAGTTACTTGAAAGAATGCAACCCGTTGGAGCAGTTTTCCACGCCGAAGAAGCCTAGAGAGGTTTGGCCCAATGGTTAACGTGCGAGGGTGACTAGCATTGGCTAGTGCATTTCTAGTAGAAGTAGGGAAGGCACTGAAGCCCGATATTTAGTTTTAAGGAGAAATGACGGGTAAGGAGGCTTTGCACCAGAGAGCAACTATTATGCTGGTCAACTGCCAGGTGTACTGATTACGCTGCCTTGTGGGAGATGAGAAGGTTGAGGGAAATATATGTAGTTGAATAATTTTGTATTATGTATAATTTTGTCTTTGTATTGTAATAGAATTAAGGGGTTAGGATTAAAATAGTCTAATAACTTAGGACAAATTGTCCTAGTTCTCAGATATTTTAAAGTGGGGGAGAAAGGGGGATGTGTAGTTCAGCTGGGCATGTGAGGTCTCTGGGGAGACCTAATTTAACCAATTATATAGTCACACCTTGCCTTGGCAAATGTCTGTCAGCCACGCCCACGTCTGAGGTCTTTTGTTATTGACGGCGTCAGACTTAGGCGTCAGGTCGTACACGTGGTTGTGGGGGGGTGTTCTCGGGACAATATAAGCCCAAGGAACAGCTGAGCAGAGGAGATTCGGGCAGAGCTCTGGCCTGGGAGCAGAGCTGAGCTCGAGGGTCTCGGGAGGAGAGACTGTTGGAGATTCGAGCAGAGCTCTGGCCTGGGAGCAGAGTTGAGCTGGAGGGTCTCGGGAGGAGAGACTGTTGGAGACATTGGGCAGAGTGCTGGCTTGGAGCAGTACTCGTGCTGTATAGGTCTTGGGACCTGTGGCTTAGTTCCTGTAGTGAACTGTCCTCTGTACTATATTGTAAGTTATATTCATTTTCGTCAAGTTGATTGTGTTCCCTGTCTCACTGCTTATATGTACCACCCCATTTGTGTAAACCACAATAATGTTCTCCTGTTCCCAAATATATTATTGTACAAAGACTTAATAATAAACTGTGTTTGAGTAGAATAGTAATATTCACTGTCCCCGTTATTTTCTCCATTTATTTATGTTTAGTTAAAGTAGTGAGAGGGTGAGTAGTGTGGAGTGGTGGGTAGAGTGATGAGAGTCGAAGTTGTAGTCACCTCACATTACCTACCGACCTCCGCACTCATCCTTCCTAGTGCCTCGCCTGTCCCCTACCTACTGAGTCCCTCCCCAGTACTCCCATATTCCCCTAATCAATACCCTACTCTACATGACAACATGTGTATAATGTTGTTGAATAATATACAGTTATAAATGGTTTTCAAAATCGAGAAGTTGATAAATGAGGTATTTTTATTACTAGGGAATCTTGATTGTGGTAACGTTCCAAGTGTTGCATAGGTGTCTTATTCATCAATATAAATATATTATCTAAATAACAACAAAAAGCATTAATAATTACCCTCTGAGTATCTTTATAGTCACAGAGTAGCGTGGCTCCCTTATGCTCGCAGAACTGAGCATTGATGCCCACTCTCAGCATTTCCGATAGGTATCCCATTGATGGTGGCAGCGTACACGCCCACACCACTACATACACGATTATCCATCCTCTCGCCTTTGATAGTAGAGCCATCTGATCAATAACAAAATTAGGTCTCTTTATACAATGTTATTTTCACAACCACAAAAGCGCAAACACAAATAGACAGAAAAACAAACAGAAAATACACACACACGCGCGCGCGCCTACACACACACACACACACACACACACACACACACACACACACACACACACACACACACACACACACACACACACACACACACATGTCAATCTCACTAAAAGACAAACTAAGATTCAAGATTCACTATCAAATTCGTTAGGTTGAAATCAATACAAATCATGTAATACCAGCTCATAGTCACTTCTGTGGGAGTTCACCGAGGTTAATGCTTATGAAAGGAAAATTAGCGTCAAGTTTTGTAATGTTTTTATGGCTTGCTTCTGTAGTGATTTAGAATCAGAGTCGAAGAGGTTAGGGGGTTCTCCTTCTCAAAGAGGAAATGTGTAATAACGAGAATGAAGTATCTGGTGATATTATTATTATAATCAAGGGGGAAGCGCTAAACCCGGAGGATTATACAGCGCCTGGGGGGGGGATGTGGAAGGCATTCAGGCTTAATTCGGGGAACTGGAGCACAGATCCAATTCCCTAAATCAAGAGCCCCTCACCAACATCAAGGAACCTTCCTTGAGGGGTATCTGGTGATAGTGAAGGGAAGTTGGGTAGCACCAACCAAGAGACAGTCAGCAGCCACAAAAGGAAGGGCACTGAATGGATTTTTAGGACATCCGGTGTAAATTGCTGGCCAGATACAACTGCAAGGAACTAGCAGTTTCATTCTTTGACAATTAGGAGAGAATATCCACCTCAAAACTTCCTTTGCGAGAGTGATGCACTGATTATACCATTTTTACATCACTTTCTGCTGCCTCCTCTGTGTTCGAATGAAGAAGCTTCTGTGTAGGCGAAACGTTTCGATATAAAGATACATATCTGTGGCAAGATTCTTACTTATGAAAGAGAGGTGTAGGGTTATGGGTGGTACTACCAAAGTGGAATTGTGTAAACTAACTTTGCAGTACAAGACTCAATATGCAGTTATGACATTTTATTGTTAAGACATTTCGTCCACTATAACCATAACCCGTCTTGTATGTTAGGTAAAAGGACACAGGTGCAACTAATGTGACATTTCATTTTGTTAACATTTCGCTCTCCAGGAGCTTTATCGAAGAATTGAGACACTTATGCAACACATGGGAATCTTTATTGAAGAAACGTTTCGCCACGCAGTGGCTTCATCAGTCCAATACAAAGTAGAAACGGGTAAGGAGAGGAAGTTTGAGGTAATCAGTCCCTCAACCTGGAATCTATGTCTTCAGTCCATCACTTTTGTAGGAAGTGCAGCATAGGGCCAGAGAGGTGGCTTATATACTGCAGTCAGATGAGTTGAAGCAGGAGGAGGTGGGATCACAGTGGGACCTGCCACTAGTGTAAGTAGGTCGTCGTCCAAAGGTTGGGCAAGCGTTGAAGTCTTTGTACCAAGATCCCATGATGTTGCCTTGTCTGACAGATGTGATGAATGGTTTCGAAAACCGACAAGTTGAAGAATTGAGACACTTATGCAACACATAGGGGCAGGCCCCACTGTGATCCCGCCTCCTGCTTCAACTCATCTGACTGCAGTATATAAGCCACCTCTCTGGCCCTATGCTGCACTTTCTACAAGAGTGATGGACTGAAAATATCTAGCCTAAACAGGACTCACAGCAATGGTTTTAAGTTGGAAAAATTCAGATTCAGGAAGGATATAGGAAAGTACTGGTTTGGTAATAGAGTTGTGGATGAGTGGAACAAACTCCCAAGTACAGCCATAGAGGCCAGAACGTTGTGTAGCTTTAAAAATAGGTTGGATAAATACATGAGTGGATGTGGGTGGGTGTGAGTTGGACCTGATAGCTTGTGCTACCAGGTCGGTTGCCGTGTTCCTCCCTTAAGTCAATGTGACCTGACCTGACTGGGTTGGGTGCATTGGCTTAAGCCGGTAGGAGACTTGGACCTGCCTCGCATGGGCCAGTAGGCCTGCTGCAGTGTTCCTTCGTTCTTATGTTCTTATGTTCTTACCCATTTCTACTTTGTATTGGACTGATGAAGCCACTGTGTGGCAAAACGTTTCTTAAATAAAGATTCCTATGTGCTGCATAAGTGTCTCAATTCTTCAACTTGTCGGTTTTCGAAACCATTCATCACATCTCCAGTAGACTGAACTACTACAGGGAATTCAACCACCTCTTCACCTTACAGCAGTTTAGCTTCAGGACCCACCGCGGAACTCAACACTCTATAAATATCATTTTTGATGCGGTAGACAGCCTGGGGAAACAAGAGAACCTTGCCCTAATTGCAACTAGGGACGTACACAAAGCCTTCGACAGCCTGTGGCACGACGGCCTCATATTCAAGCTTGCCGACCTCTAGGACCACAACTGAACCTTTCTCAGGCTCATATACAACTTCTTAACAGGTAGAAGTATCATCCCCACCTTCAATGAAAAGTCAGCAGTACCTTTCACGCCGACAGTTGGAGTACCACAGGGCTCGTACTTTCAGCCCCATACTCAATGTATATGTAAACGACCTCCTCCAGCCTGAATTCAATAATACAATCATCACCCAATTTGCAGGTGACGTTATCCATGTAGTATCTTCCACCCCCATCTCAGGTATAAACAGGCATAGGTGAGTATTAGAAAAAAATGAATGCGGAACTACGAAGAAGAGCCAACTGGGAGAAAACATGGAGAATTACAACTAACCCAGGTAAATTCCTCATCAGCATCATCGGCTGTTTTGCATCAACCATAGAAGACAAAGAGGGCTATTTCCATCAGAGGTACACGTATCGCTATCAGAAACCCAGACAAGATCCTGGGTTACGAGATCGACAGATTGCTCCACTCCACATCTCCAAAAAGGTGAACCTAGCAAAAATCCGACTCAGTCAACTATTTAGATTCAAAGAAGTCATCTCCCACATCAAGAAGCGCTTTTATATGATGATGATGATGATGATGATAAACCTATGCTGGAATACCCTTGAGTAACCATGTCACTAACAACTAAATCCAACATGTTACAGCTGCAAAGAGTCCAGAACAGAGCACTTCGCTTTTTCACGGGCACCAGGCGGGGAGATAGAATCAGGATGGAAGACCTACACGTCCAACAGGAGATCGATACAATAAATGTCAGGCTAAAAAATGAGAGAACTAACGACATGCAGGAACTCTATTTACCAGACAGAGAAAACCCTCCCCAACCAAAGAACACCACCGACTACGTCATCAGTATACCTCCCCACAGAACCCAAAGGATGACCCTCCAACAAAGAGTTCGACGCTTCATTCGCAAGGAGTACTTCTCACGACCAAGGATCCTGAGTGACCTCCCCGTAGATACAAAGTTGATTGTTTTACCACATGTATTACTAGTACTACAACTAATATTAATGCTACCACTAGTACTACACCTCACTCTAAGCCTATATATACCCTCTGTGTCCATGTATTGTTTGTAACGGCTTGATAAATCTCCTGGGAGCGAAATGTTGCCACAATAAAATGTCACATTTGTACTTGTGTCCTTTTAACTAACATAACCCGCCTTATTAACAACAGGTTCTCTTAGAACATACCTGAAGGAACAGTCAGTTTCCTCTTTAGATGTGACTGTGGTAGGGAAGTGGAGAGAGACAGTGATGGACTTCCAGGTACTTTTCAGAATTCTCGACAAGTATTTCTTGTATTTTAAGCGTCAAATAGCCACCTACTACTCTGAAAGATCATTTCTCCAGCTGGCCACAGTGAGGGTTCATGATACTTCTGTTTGTCATAAAAAGTTACTTATGCATATTATTATAATAAAAAAAGAAGCGCTAAGCCACAAGGGCTATACAGCGCTGCAGGGCAGGAAGGAAGCGAGGGCATCAGGTGGCAAAAGGAAGGTGAATGAGTAATAGGTTATGGATAACAGCGGAGCAGTGGATGGTGAAAGGGTAAAGGGCAGCAAGAGACTGAGCTAGAAAGGGCTGAGGGGAGTGCGTAAGGTATCATCATCAGAGTTTGTGCAGTAAATCAGTCGTTGTCAAGAAGTCAATGAGAGAGTCAGGATTAAAGGAGGGTCCATCAGCAAGAAGGGAAGGTAAAGAGAGAGTAGTAGAACGAAGACGGCGTTGAAGGTAAATTCTGCGTGCTCGTTGATAGAGAGGGCAGTCTAACAGAATGTGGCTAATCGATACTGGAACTTGACACTGCTCAGAGAGAGGTACAGGGTGTCTCTCCATGAGATACCTGTGAGTAAGACGAGTGTGGCCAATGCGAAGACGGGAGAGAGTGGTCTCCCAACCACGGCACTGATGACAAGAAGACGGCCAGTAACCTATGCTCGGTTTAATAGAATGAAGTTTGTTACCAAGCAGAGTTGACCAATGTTGTTGCCAACGGGCGTGAAGGTGGGTAGCTATTGCAGCAAAATAGTCCAGAAATGGAACACCTCTATAGGAAATTGGTAGGTCATGTACTGATGACCGCGCAGCAGTGTCTGCCTGTTCATTGCCCTGTACGTCAACATGACCAGAGACCCAACAAAAAACAATATCTTTATGTTTGGTAGAGATACGGCGTAGCCAAAGTTGGATACGGAGAACTAGGGGGTGAGATGTATCAAATTTTCGTATAGCCTGTAGAGCACTAAGGGAGTCTGAGACTACCACAAATGATGACACAGGCATAGATGCGATACGAATAAGTGCTGCAAGAATGGCATACAATTCAGCAGTAAAAATGCATAGAAATTCAAGAAACCGAGAATAACAACAGATAATGTGTACTAGGTGAGCACAATTTTAAGGCCACTGCAAAGTCGTGTTGTACACCAGATGGCAAGTTACTATAAATTAAACTTTACCTCTAAGAATGTTTTATAGTTCAATTCGTAAACCACCACTGATTTATGAAGTATTCCAGTGTATTAACCTCTTAGCTATAAGTTAACTGTTCTAACCGGTCCTTTAGAGATGCTTCACGAATTTTTTTCTATCTTCACTGCGCCTGATTTGGAAGAGAACTAACTTTAATATTTCCGAACCTTTATTTATGTTGTCACTCGTGCCTTGTCGGATAATTTATCAGATATGACTGCATTGTGGTATTATATTGATTATTTGGTGATGCCAAAATTCTTTCCAAGTACATTTTTCTGGAAAACAATTTCAATTCACTACTGAATGGAGCTCACACTATCACGGTGGTGACTTGAGCAACAAGCCAGCCAATAGGTAGGTAAAAAAAAACTAATAACACAGATTAAACGTTCATATCGGAGGATGTTTCTTTTAGGATTTATTTATACTAAGTCACAGATCTGCCATGATTATGCTCCATCCTGAGTAAACTTTCGTTTAAAAATAGAGGGTTCTTCTGTATAACGTGTCTTCATATATATTACACTTTTCCCATTCAAAACTTAATGCCTGTTCTATATTGCAGGTTTTGTTAATTGTTGAAGAAGTGATCATGGAAACTCCTCAACACTGATGCTTGTGAATTCCTGCGAGTTTTACAGATGGTCACTATCTGTTATCACACTATTTGTAATGCTCGGCAAAACAATTAAAAATTGGTGGGAGTCGCATAAAACCACAGATAAAGAGCACGTGCATCAATAATGTGATAATTAAGAGTTGACTCTTAGTGTACAGAATATACACTGAAATAAACCTCTTGACTTAAGTAACTGTTATTACGAAGTCATTTTATTGTAATGTACATTAGAGTAATTATTCGATTTGATATATTAATTAGTTAGCAATTGATAAAGTTAGGTTAGTTTTATTAGTTTTTATTAGGTGATTATGACAAGTCTTTGGTTCATTACAAAGGTAATTGCGAATATCCTGCTTCAGGGAATTGCAAATACAAGAAGTTATAAACTTCTTACCCTTATATATCATAATCCTAAAAAAAATTGTTTACAAGCCATGTGTGTGTGTGTGTGTGTGTGTGTGTGTGTGTGTGTGTGTGTGTGTGTGTGTGTGTGTGTGTGTGTGTGTGTGTGTGCGTGTGCGTGCGTGCTTGTGTGCGCCCGCGTGTGCACGTGTGTGTATATCTGGGTCTGGGTCTGCGCGTGCGTGTGTGCGTGTGCGTGTGTATACTCGCCTATTTGTACTCACCTATCTGTGGTTGCAGGGGTCGAGACTCGGCTCCTGGCCCCCCGCTTCAGTGATCGCTACCAGGTCCTCTCTGCTCCACGAGGGTTATCATACCTCGTCTTAAAGATGTGTGTGGTTCCTGTTTCCACTACCTCGCTTTCTAGACTATTCCACTTCCTGACAACTCTGTGACTGAAGAAATACTTCCTAACATCCCTTTGACTCGTCTAAGTCTACAACTTCCAATTGTGACTCCTTGTTTCTGTGTCCCATCTCTGAAACATCCTGTCTCTGTTCACCTTATCTATTCCTCGCAATATTTTGTATGTCGTTATCATGCCTTCCCTAACCCTCCTGTCCTCCAGTGTCGTCAGACCTACTTCCCTTAACCTTTCTTCGTAGGACATTCCCCTTAGCTCTGGAACTAGCCTTGTTGCAAACCTTTGCACTTTCTTTAATTTCTTGACGTGCTTGATCAGGTGTGGGTTTCAAACTGGTGCTGCATGCTGAGGTATCGGAACGCTATTCTCAGGTTTGCCAGGCCCCCATATGCTGCAGCAGTTATCTGGTTGACGTGTGCTTCTGGAGACGTGCTCGGTATATTTTTTTTTTTATATTTTATTTAAAACTCAGGTACAAAATATATATGGGTACATAAATTAATATGTAACAAGATACAGGTGGTGAGCAATAATCAACTGTGACTACACAAGCTACTGAAATAAGCACATACATAATGACATCAGAACTGACTTCACTCAAATCGGACACTGCTTCTACGTACTGTGCTTCACATAAACAGATGGTCGTATAAAAAACGATAGATACCTACTCAGTAATGCTTACACTCCCCCCCCCCTGTGAAAACATCCATTTTCACATTAGTACACACAGTGACAAATCTCTTATACTTAAACATTTATAAGAACTTGAAAAACTTCAATGACACACTATATAAACACAATCTAGCCATTAAACGGCTGACACTATAAATACAAGTAATGTCTGAACATAATGGCACTACTGCTACCATAGAACACAATCCACACCCTAACCTTCATATACCTTATGGTAAAAATCAATATCTTTCATGGTGGTGGAGTTAATACAGTACCGCTGACGCTTCAATCCCTCCCCACATGCCCAGTAACTGTGTCTGCTGTCACCAGTCATAACCACCAAAACATTCATTGATGTTAATTACCGTCTCATAATATATATCATCCTAATAACACGCTATATACATAAACCTACCAAAATAAATAAATTTACACATTGTTCCCTCCTGCAGACAGATTATTTACACTGCCGGAGATAATCTGTACATCACATCCTACAGAGAATGGACAACATTTGACATCTAAAATAATTGTGACCATGTGTTTCGCATGACCTGCTAGTGCAGAGATTTTTTTTTTAACATCACAGTACAAACATATAATATATTAAACTCATGTTGAGCTATAACTATAACACCATCCTACCTACAGCTAACATTACACCTCACACTTACAACTCCGTGTGGGTAGAACCCCCCCCCCTTGTTCCCTCATCCTATCACTTAACTCAAACCTGTTGGAGCTACCCAACAGAATTACACAATATGAACAACACTTGTCTACACCTTCCTCGAAATGGTACATAATCTGTACCCTCAGATACATCCATTTTCACCCTACATTGATGATGTAAGCGACCACTAGAAAATCATTACAGAACATGCAATTCATTGCACTGAACATATTACAGACATACATATTAAACCCCCCTCCCCCCGTGGTTATCCAACCACCACACTATTTACAACCTAGCATACTATAAACAATGGATGTTACCTAAATTGATTTCACATATCATTTACCTCCCAACTATTGTGCCTCAACCTTAACATTGTTAAGGTTGCAACGAAACACTGACTTATAAACAGGTAATTTTACGTGAATACTAAAAATGCACATCATGTATTGCTGGGTACTCAAAACAGGAATTAAACATAACATTTGACAAACAGGATAAGACATTTATACATATGTTAACATTATCTCTTCACACTTTATTGCAACTACCCTAAACACGAAATTGTGTCTACCCTTATTTAAAACTGTACGACTCGCAGTCGCACTACATTAATACGAAGCCCACAGCTAAAAACTTCAAGCTAGTAAATTCAACTAGCAGGAATCCCACATACAAGTTGTGACAATACTGCACCATCATCAATGCACGCTTACTTAAAACCTAAAATACACAATTTTACTGTTTGGCCTGAGAGCTTGGAAAGTTCTCAGGCCAAACAGGCCAAAACGTGTAATTATCTGGTGACTGTGCCACTTCAAGCAATAATGCACAAACATGAAATACAAGGTATAACGCATCATCTCTCTGAACACTTGTTCATATTCTCAGGCCAAATAAGCTGAGACATGAAGATCATCAGTGACAAACAATAATGCCACAAACATTAAATGCAAAATTATATCACATCATTTCTCTGAACACCGTTCAGAATCTCAGCCCCCACACTATGAAGTGCAAAGCACCCAGAACAAATGTTGATGCAAGTACATGTAACAAATAGAATCAAACCTCCAAATTACAGTGCCAGTACCTCTTCAATCAATAATGCCACACACAGTATATACAAAATATAACAGAGCATCGCCAAACAGTAACGGTAATACTATAAGAGAAACTTATCACACATTAATATACCACACTACAAAACCCACCTCCCCCAAAACCCCTTTAACTCTCAATCCCACACACACAAACAGTCAAACCTCTGCGACACACCCAACACGCAATCTCTCCCCTGGGGAGGCCAACCCGTTCATGCCCCTGACAATCTATAAGCCCATAAATCTCTCAATTGGAAATCTCTATAGCCCTCCGGGAAATCCTTCTCCCACCTCCCCCCATATATTTCCACTGTTGCGACACTTTGTCCTATAAAAAGATGCAACTAGGCCATCCTAAAAGTTCCCCCACCCCTTTGTCTCTCATTGCCCACGATATAAAAACAAAATCAACCACTAAATAAGACCACCGCCCTTTGAACTTTCACCCCTACCCCACCTACATCTAAACTGAGCGCTCACAAAACTGACAACCCTTCCCCCCCCCCATGCCGAATCACTTTCCCCAACCATTCCATCACAACCCCTAGGCGTTGGCAAAAATATACTACATGAAAAGCCGATTCATCTACCCCACAATCTTGACACTCTCCACCCTCCCTTATTCGATTATTACGTAAAACTATCCCTGACGGCAAGATTCCGTAGAGAAACCTATACATTACCTCCCTCACACACGGCCAGATACACAACCCTTTTAACCAACACCAAATGTCTTCCCATGCGTACATCTGGTACGCCCCTTCCAAGGCCACAGTCACCCTAGACCATAGTTTTCTCTCTATGGACCCTACCCGCATGTTCTTTGGATCTCTGACGAGCTTTAATGCACACAACACCTCCTCACAGTCTCGCAAATCCTGCCCCCTCCACCATCTTCGAATATCTTCCTGCACAATCCTCATTCCTCCACCCCTCTCTCCACGCACCCACCCGCAGGAACCCGTGCTTCACATATACGCTCTTCAACCTTCATTCCAAGTGAATTAGTCCCAGCCCTCCCTTGGCCACCTCCCTTCTTAACCAATCGCATCCCGAACCCCAGATAAAACGGAAAACCCTACCCAACAATCTCCGGACATCCCCATACACCAAAGGCACAACGCTGCCACATACCATATTTTACTAAATAAAAGCACATTGACCACAATAACCCTCTGGTGTAGTGTAAGATGTGTCGGCCGCAACCCTATCAATCTTCCCAACACTATCTACTACACCCTTTGAATTAACCTCCCTTGCCATCTGTGCATCCCCCATATACACGACACCACAAATCTTCGACTGATCCACAACACACCACCTCGCCCCCTCACCCTCACCCTTCCACCCATTCCATGCACCTAATCTCATGAGCTTTGATTTATCCACATTCACTGCCATACCTGTTGCCACCCCAAAAACATCCACAACCCTCCCCAAACCCTCCAATCCCTCCCTCCCACTCACTAGGACAGTTGTGTCATCAACCTATGATACCAGGTCTCCCACCACTTAGATCGTCCTTTACCCCCTCCCGTACGCACCGTTCCACTGCCCTATAAAAAGGATTCTGTAAATATGCAAATAATATTTGTGATAATGGGCATCCCTGTCTCAATCCCCTGCCCATTCGCACATGCAACCCCACCCTCCCATTAATCTGCACACACACACATTCTAGCTCCCTGATATAAAGTACGTGCCCATTGCACTATTTCGTCCCCAAACCCCTGCTATCTCATGATTCTCCACAAAGCCTTCCTTTCGACACTGTCATACGCCGCCCTCCAATCCAGCGCTAATACCACTCGTTCCCCCTCACTCGGACACTCAATAAACCTTCTAATAACCCCATGCCCCTCATACATTGATCTCCCCGGTATCCCATATTGGCCCACTACTATAACCTTTCCAATGACCCTCTTAATACGGTTTCCCAAAATTTTAGCAAAGAGTTTGTAGTCTGCACACATGAGCGATATCATTTGATAATCCCTCACTGTGTACTATCACCCTTTAGCATCAAAACTACAATAACTGTTGCTTGCAACTCCCCCAACGCACCCTGCTCTTTCTTGATATTTAACAAGTGCACCAAAAAGTCCTTCAATACACCCGAATGCTGTATATAAAAGTCAGCAGGCAGCCCATCTATCCCCGACGCCTTACACCGACTCATATCCATTAATGCTGTCCACACCTCCTCAACGATAGTCCCCTGTAACAGTTCCCTGTCGTCCCTGTCAAGCACACACTGCACCCAATCTCCCGTCTCCCTTAACGTCCCCCCTCACTCACACCCACACTTCTCATATACGCACTAAGCCAAGCATCAACATACACCCCCCATCCCCTCCGTTGTAACTAGCTCTTGCCCCTCCCTATACCCCTATATGTCCTCGTGGACCCTCAACCTACCATTTCCATAGCAATGCACCGACGCGCCTGTTCCTGCAGGACACACGCCGACGGCCTATCGCCCCACATGACCTCCTCTAACCACCCTAAAACCCTTGCCGCATTGAACCGCTCATTTTGCAATATCATTAGTCGTTCCTTCACTCCCTCTATGTCTGCTACTGGGGCTCCCACCCCTTCCCCTTCCTCTCATAATACTCCCTCAACTGCCCCTCAAGATACCTAATAAGCCCATAAGCCAGCTGATTCTCATGCCTCCCCTGGTGAACATAGATCTCTCGAATCCTCGTCTTCGCCGTTGTATCCCACCAGCTCAACACATCCCCCTTCACTAGTGCCCCATCCCACAAACTTTCCCACAAACGTGCAAATAAGACCCTCCCCTCGACATCTTGAAGTAACCGAACATTCAATTTCCAATAACTCGAATACCTGTTCGGCCAACCCTCCCATCCCAATTCTACCAAAACACCTCTGTGATCTGAAAAAACACATCGAAGACCCTTACTCTCTGAACCACTGCTTTTCTCGTTACGTTTATTCTGTCCAGCCTCGCCGCATACCCCTGCCTCGCAAAGGTGTGCTCCACCTCCCACGCCACACCCCCCACATCCACCAGCCCCACCCCAGTTAACAGCTCCCTCAAAACGCCAGAACAATATTCTGTTTCCCTAGGTTCCACATCCCTACGATGTATGACAATTCCAGTCACCTCCCACCACAAATAACGCCAGAAGCGACCTCAGGTGATATACCATCACATCACGTACAAACTCGTTCTTAACCAGACTGTCCCCCTCCGCCGGACCATAACACACACAAAGGATATCTTGTCCCTTCCCCACATCCCATCCACTCGTATAACCCTCCCCTCCCCTCCCTCCTCACAATGATGTACAGTAAATGAGCTAGCCTCCCTCATCAAAATAGCCACTCCTCCTTTCAATCTCGGCGAGTGTGCCGCATATACAGTATACCCCTCAATCACCAACATACAACCCAGCTTGTGGTTGTGCTCTTGTACAAACAACATCTACACCATACCTAATGAGAATCTCACGAAATCATGCACACTTCCTATCGTTTCTCAGTTCATTAATATTTATAGAGAGACTCTTGAAGCCGTCAAAGGAGATTTTCCTTTACTCACTGCAACACCCCTTTCCCCCTTCCTCCTAATACTCCCCTGGTCCTCATACGCCCCTCTGGGACCTCCTTTCACAGATCCCTTGCCACTAGACCCCTCAGGTCCACGCTTCTGCACATCTGCCCAAACCTTTTTACCTGGACGCTGTGCCGGAGTGAGCACATCGTCCATATCTGAGATCACGGCTGCTCTCTTTCGTGACCCTCGAGCCTTCCTCCCAGGCTCCACCCGGAAGCCATCCTCGTGCACTTCTGCCACCACAGAGCCAATTTGCAAACCAGCATCAACTTGGGCCTCCGACATGCCCCCCCCCACACCTGGAACCACTGCAGAATTCAGGGCACCCACAAGCCCCTCAACGGAGACTTCACCTGGGGTCCCTAACAGGTCGTGGAGCACTGAGTCATTGGTGGCCTCCGCGGCCCTGTCCTCACCAATCGGCACCTCACCTCCGGTCTCCGGTTCCTGCCTGGCAGAGCTCGGCTCCCCCGGAAAAGTTGCACACTCTCCCTCCCTCAATTCACCCTCGTCGACCTCCACACACCAAGCCTTGCACAAAGGAGGCGACTCAGGTCGTGTCTCCTCCATCGTCTCCTGTTCCTCCGGTGCCTCCTCAGGTTGAGCATCCGCCTGTGAACCCTGCCGTTGAACACACTGCACAGCAATGTGATCATAGGCGCCGCACAAGCGACAAGTACGTCGTTGCCCCGCTTAGGTCACCATCACTTGTGTCCTGAAGTCGACAAGGTAAACACAGGAAGGAACGGGATGCCTCAATGTCATTTTCAAAGAGAAACTTCCCTCAGGCATCCCAGCATATGATCCTTCCTTCCACTTCCCCAGTGTCGCCATGCAAACAGTCCCAAACTTCTCAAACACGGCACGCAGGTCTGCCTCATCAGCCTCAAAAGGTACGTTCCTTGTCT